ACAACGTTTCCACAAGGTACTTGATGATGACAAAACCTTGTCGAAACGTTGTACATTTGCTGTTATATTAAAGTTTTTTCTTCATTACCCATTCAAGCCGTCTCCAGCCATTATTATAAATGACCTGATGATCTGTGTAGTAAAGACACTCAAGAAGTTCAAACATTCGAATTTAACGCTAATATTTATTATTCAAAAATCACAACAGAAGATATATTGAAATCATGAATAAAAAACAATATCGGTAAAAGTTTGTTTGTTATGAATTTCGCGCAAAGATACACGAGAGCTATCTGCTTTAGCCGTCCCTAATCTAGCAGTGAAAAAGTAGAGGGAATGCAGCTAGTCATCACCACCCACTGCCAACTCTTGGTCTACTATTTTACCAACGAATAATGGGATTGACCGTCACGTTATAACGCCCCCATGGCTGAAAGGGCGAACCCGCGACCCTCAGATAGTTGTTAAGTACAAAGCTACACGATAGGCTATCTGTGCTATGGCCACTACGGTATCGAAAACAAATTTATAGCGTTTTGACTTACCGATGATTTATTGAGGGCTCTTCATAACCAAACCTTAAGACGTTTTCAAATATTAAAAGAAGAATACAGATCTGAAGATAGAGGACGCTACATACAGAATTTAACTATGTAATATGCTTTTAAAAGATCAACGTAATGCAAAATATTTTTTTTAACACAGAACAGGACCCCCAGTTCCATATAATTCAGATAGAAATATTAAATGTATGTTATACAATTTTCGTGTTTCTGTTTAAAAAGTACCAACATGAATCAAAAATACACATTTAAGCTTTTATTTTAATACGTATTACGTGTTGCGAAAAACTTATCTGAGTTTTTTATGAGAATAAATTGGTCGTTGTACAATGTATTCGATCTATTGACCAGATTAGATTACTTAAAGAAATGTGAGTTTAATAGTTGGGAAAGTATAAAATTTAATGCTGAAATTAATATTTTAGGAACCGTTGAGAGAGAACTTGCTCGAAACATGTTGGTCGTAAATTAATTTTTTTCTTCGGTACTTTTTCTAGTTTTTTTTTAATGTAAAAACTTGTAATTGTTTTAATACTGTTTTGTTTTTCACCATACATAATCGTTTTCAGAATATATGCAGTGTGAAACTTTTTAAAATACCAATTGGCTATTCTACAGATACGTCATCTATGTCTTGCCGTCATTGGCTAGACGTTCTTCCGTTAACTATAGGAGATTACTGGTTGGTTTATTACCTTTAGCGTCTATAATTATTTACTCACAGTCCTTTTAGTTATGTGTCGTATAAAGATAAAAAATTTCTAAAGCTGTTATAACTTTTGTAAATGTATCAACATGAAGAAAAGTAATACGGGAACCATATGTATCACGTGATCTAATTGGCAAGAACGTTGTACCTATAATATTTGGGGGATGTGTTGCTTCTGTAGCGCGGGGTTCCGTATTAGCATTAATTAGCAGTTTTCGGGTTTTACAAAATAGTTGAGGTTTCTGTGATTTTGGTGTTTTCTAATTTTCATATTAAATAGTTAAGTCCTGCCCAGTACTTCAATCTACAGGAATGAATAAACTGTACATTGGGAATTTACCGCTAGAAACGAACGAAGAGTCTTTACGTGAACTATTTCACGAGCAATCAGGAGTTACCCCGCAAAGTATTCTTGTGAAAAAAGGCGGTTATGCATTTGTTGAATGCCTTGATGAAGAGGCCGCCGAAAAAGCTATTGAAGTTCTGAATGGTAAGTACTTTTTAATTCTCATAAAATGTATCTTGGAAAGCATTTGACCACCGTCACGGTAGTTACAACAAAATTTGGTTAATAATGGAATTAAAAAATCGTGGATGTGACTTCAAAATGGCGTCTGGTGAAGTGTGCGTCTAATTTTATGGTAGTAGTTGACCACGTGCTAACCATGTTGGTATGTTGCTGGTACTGGTACAGTTTGGAAATTATGTAATTAAGCACTACAGGCGTAATTATCCAGTCTTGCAGTTATTTTAACTTTAGTTTTATTTGTTATGAACTTAGTTGACAGTTTAGTTTAAAAAATAACGTGTTTTAATTTTTAAGATTTGGGTTGGTTATAAAGCTAAGGAAAGCGTAATAATTTCTCATTTATTGCTTGTTTCACTAAACCATGTCATCCTTTGGACATTTGGTGTTTACCATACATATTATAAACTAATTAAATGAAAATGGTTACATTATGTATTATAGAGTTGATCACAGCAGAAGTTATTAAATTTCAAGAACAAATGGTGCTAAAGTTATGAGTTTGGATTTATGAAATGTACAGCCATCTGCTACATTTAATGTAATGTAATTGGTAGCAATCGGTGGTTAAAAGTAAAGTTTTAATTTTCGTCTGCTAAAGATTAATGGGGCTTCAATTTCAAATGTTAACCTTACAAGTTACATAGTTAAGCTATTACTAGTACTAGATTAATGAGACGTTAAGAAAGTATACATAAATATGTACTAAAAAAAAACAACAACATAAAATGAAAGTAGATATTGTAAAACTAAATACAATTTCTTCTTATTCAATTCATTTTCTAATAGTACTACATCTAAAAATATCCAACGGTTTTTAAAAACTTTTTATGTGAATTAAGTATACATAAAACAGAACTGATGTATCTGAAACACAAGCAATTAAAAACTTCAATTCTCTTATATTAATTCATTTTTATTACATTCGAACTGCATACACCACATCATAAAGCCACCCATTACACAAGTTTATAATTAACTGGAAATTAATTTTGGTGTAAAGTAAGTTTTCATCTGGACTTGTTTTTCCTGTGTTAGTCAGTTTATATATATCCCTAACAAGTTTAACTGAAATTTATTTGGTGAAATTTTAAATAAAAATTAAATACCAAATTTACGAATATACTTTGGAGACTTTATGAAAATTTTTTGGACATGTATATTCTTAAGTTATTTTTAGCACTTCTGTAAGGGGGGAGGTTAAATTTGCTTTTATACTATTAAAGCTGAAGCAATAATAAAGTAAAAATTATTTCCACACTAAGCAGGTTGTGAAATATTTATAAAAGTAATTTGTTATAACCCTGCTTGCTTAAGTTGAATTTACATGAAAAAAGATTTATAAAAGAGACATAATTGTTAATATTTGTGCATCTAATGAGATTAATCCATGTAAACGTAACACAGAACCTTTAGTTACTGAGAATTTGGTTATATTATAAAAGCACATGTAACGAATTAGTTAAGTATGACATTTCTTGGCCACTTTTCAGTTGATACACAGCTTTCGGATCTGTTGTTATAACTTGCCAGTTTCTCACGTTCCATCATATAGAGTAATTTTTATGTTTTTATGTGTTACTACATTAAACATAGTGAACTTGGTAAAATGAGGTCAGTAAAATCACTTATTTTTTACGTAAAATACATAGAGGACATCAAGAGTAGTTAGTTGGTTTAATTTCAGTACTGATCTTTTTCTTCACATTTTTCTGTGGTATGTAATTATGGATCCCGTTACCTCCAAAGTCTTGGATCCCATAAGCAGTTTAGTACGTAATTAATGTAACAAGTTATTTTCAAAAGCCCAGTGAACCCCACCAGTAGTTCTAGGGTTAAAAACAAAGGGAAATCTTGTATTTCTTTCTTAGCTCTTGTGAAGTGCTAGCTTTCACTACTGCTGAAACTGATCTAACTGAAGTTAGATCTATCCTGTATTTTCAAACTCTTAAACTTCTGTCCTCTTTTCCTATTAACTTCGACATTCAGCACAAAGAAATCCTTATGAATAATCTTGTAAAATTCAATTACTTTTATCAATAGAAAATAAGTTTAGATCATAACCTATTCCTGTAAGATAACCCCTTCCTTCCACAGAATTATCCTAATAGTCCTAGTTTGAACCCTTTCCGCTTAGTCAGTATTCTTTCGTAGATAATGATAACAAAACTGTACACAGTATTCTAGTTGAGGCCTAACTAGTGACTTGTATGGAGATAATTACATTTTTGACTCGTAATTAGTACTTATAAATACATCCTAAAATTCAGTTAGCTTTACTACTAGAAACAGAGCATTGTTTCAATAACTTGAGTGACTTATCCATCCCTTTACTAAGATCCTTTTCATCAGTCATGTTATTGAGTGGGTTCCCATCTATTTATACAGGGCACAAATTGTCATACGAGTCAATTGCTTTATTTTGCAGTTACTTTAGACTTCCTTTGCCTAAAATTTGTATATCTTACTGTTCGATCCAAGTCATTCTGCAGTCCCTCAAAATCTTCAATACAGCTAGAAATACTCAAGAGCTTATTGTCATTAGTAAACTTTACCAATTAAGTATCATTAATGTAAAGACTCTAGTACAGACCCTGAAACACTTCACTGGTTACGAGATCCACCGATCTCCATTTATAACAACTTTTTGCATCTTCACATCCATCAACTGTACAATCCAATTAATTAGTCTTTCCCAGCACCTACCAAAGTAATCTTTTGTGTGGCACCTTATGAGAAGTTTTGAAATTAGGTACTCCAAGTTTCACACCTTTTCCATCATCCAGATAAGTAACATCTTAGAAAAAGAAAACTTGGATTGATGTAAGATTTCCCTTGATTAATCTATGTTGTCTGTTATTTATAACTAGCTGAGTTACCCGGCATCGCACGGTGAAAATTTAGATTTGAAATGTATATATCAGTATTTTTTCAGTAAATTATTCAG